CTAGACCTCCCCAAAAAAACAAAGAAACAACAGAGCTAATCTATGATATGGGCCAAATGAACCTACTTGAAATCTACACAACATTACATCCCATAATTATAGGATATATAATCTTATTGGCAGTGCGTGGAACTTTACCTAAATAGACTGCATTTTAGGGAATAAAGCAAGTCTCAATAGATTCAAAAATAAGAACATCATATCACACACCTGATCATAGTTGAATGAAGCTGAAAATTAACACTTTGGAGATTCTTGAAAATATATGAACATATAGACTGAATAATACGTTTCTGAATAACTACTGGGTCTTATGAAAAATCAAAGCAGAAGTAAAAATTCCCAGGAATGATTAAAGATGATAACAAACCATGCCAAAAATGTGGGATGTCGCCTTAGCAGTACTAAGAAAACTTTGTAACAATTAGTGCATACCTAAAGAAAGGCATCAATGGGACAATCTAACAATGTTTTTGAAAAAAAAATGGATAATATTGATACCCCACTGATACAACTAGACTTCAAATTAGCCTTCAAAAAATAAGAGATAAAATGGTAATTGTTATAATGGATATCATAGAAACAAAAATTGTCAGTAAGCACTGCAATCAATGTTATGCCAAGAAATTAAAAAATCTACAAGAAAGGAATACTTGTCTGAACTCATGCAACCTACAAACTTTAGTCATGAAGATGCAAAATAAAAATCCTAAATATACCAATAATCAAGATAGAGACTGAATCAAGAATAAAGACCCTTGCAAAAATGAAAAGCACAGGACTGCATACATTTACTGTTGTACTCTACCAAACATTTTAGGAATTAACTCCAATTCTCAAAATATTCAGAACAATGAAAGGGAAGAAATTGTCCTAAACTCCCTCTATGAGGCTATTGTCATCTTAATTCCAAAACCAGGAAAAGATACATACAGAGAGATAATTATAGAACAATATCCTTGATAAACACGGAAACAAAAATCCTAAAGAAAATACTAGCTAATTAAAACCAACAATACATTAGAAAAATAATTTAATCATATCAAGTAGGATTTATTCCTAGTACACAGGTATAGTTCAATACATGAAAACCAATCAATGTCATACATCTCATTAGTACTTTAAATACTAAAAACTATATAATAATCTCAACAAATGCAGAGGAAGATTTTGACAAAATACAACATGTTTTCATAATCAAATCCTTCAGAAACTGAGTATGGATAAAACTTTCCTCAGCAAAAACAATGATGTAAGTGACAAACCCAACACCAATGTCATATTGAATGGGAAATGTTACATAAATATCCACTAATATCCCCAATTAGAAAGGGTTTTGGTCTGAGCATGGTTAGTCAATAGCTTCAGGAAGTTTTAGTTACAGCCATTTTAAAAAAAATAAATAATTGAAAGGATACAAATTGGAAAAGAGAGACACAAATTATCCCTGTGAAAAAGTTTCGTTTGTGAGCCTGGCACCATAGCCTAGTGCTGAATCCTTGTCTTACAGGCACTGGGCGGAATCTCACATGGGTGCCAGTTTGTGCAATAGCTGTGCTGCTTCCCATCCAGCTCCCTGTTTCTGGCCTAGGAAATCAGTCCAAAATTGTCCACAGTGTTGGAACTCTACACCCACATGAGAGACCAATAAGCAGCTCGTGGCTTTGGATTAGTTTAGCTCTGGCCATTGTGGCTACTTGGATGGGGAACCAACAGATGGAAGATCTTTCTCTCTGTATATTCTTTTCTCTGTATAATTGCCTTTCCAATAAAAATAGATGAATCATTTTTGAAAGCTGCCTTTTGCTTTTAAGCTCTGAAGACCACATACTGTTCCATTGTCTGTATAGTCTATGATTTATTTCATCTCCTAATGGCAGATACTTGATCACACTCTAGATTTTTGCTTCCAAAACTCTCATTATTGTAACACAACATGAGGAACATGGTGGCTTAACAGGTTCATCCTGCACATGCAGTGTCAGCATTCCATGTCGGTACCAGCTATAGTTCAAGATGCCCATTTTCAGTCCAACTCCCTGCTTATGAACTAGGAAATTTAGCAGTGGTTGCCCGGAATCCTCCGACCCATGACACACATGGGAGACCTAAAAGAATCTCTTGATTTCTGGCTTCAGTGGACTCAGCTCCGACCATTGCAGCCATTTGGGAAATAAACCAGTGGATGAAAGATCTCTGTCTCCTTCTCTATGAATCTGCCCTTCAAATAAAAATAAATTAATCTCTTTAAAAAATAGTAAAAGGGAACATGCTGATGTGTATATCACTGGATGTTTCCATGAGTATGTTAAAAAATGATTTAAAAAATAAAAATAATAACTTTTTTGCAGAGGGCATGATCCCACATAGAAAGAAACTAAATAATTACATGATGAAACTGTTGGAATTCATGTAAGAGTTTGATAAAATTGCTAGAATAAAAAGCTTTCAAAAGATTACTAGCCATTGTATTCACAAAAGTGTCATGATCATTAAAGAATTATAATATCAGTAGGATTCATGACTAAAAAATGTTTAATTATGCTGGAAAAGGCTTAGCCAAGGATGTGAAAGCTGCCTACAATGGAAACTATGTAACAGGAGAGAAAGAAATAATAGACCCAGAGTCATAGAACAGGCTTCCCTGTTGGTGGATTGGAGGAATTCACATCACCAAAACAGCGATAATACCCAACACAATTTACAGATTCAATTATCTCCTAGTCAAAATTAGTAAGGACATGCTTCACAAACCTAGGAAAATAATGATAAAATTCATTTAGGAATAAAAGAAACCCCACTATAAAGGTAAAGCAATCTTTTTTTTTAAATATTTTTTACTGGAAATTCAGATATACAGAGAGGAGGAAAGACAGAGAATATCTTCCATCTGCTGATTCACTCTCCAAATAGCCACCACAGCTGGAGCTGAGACGATCTGAAGCCAGATGCCAGGAGCTTCTTCTGAGTCTCCCACACTAGTGCAGCGTCCCAAGGCTTTGGGTCATCTTCCACTGCTTTTCCTAGGTCACAGGCAGGGAAAGAGATGGGAAGCAGGACTGCCGGGACAGGAACTGGCATCCATAAAGTATCTTGGAGTGTGCAAGGTGAGGACTTTAGTCATTAAGCTACCATGCCAGGTCCCAAGGTAAAGCAATCTTAGAAAAAAGCCCAAGGGATTACAATACCAAGCTTCAAGACACAAAAAGAATGATAAAATTCATGTAGAAGCAGATGAGACTTCACTACACAAATAAAACTGCATAGCGATTTTTATCTAAACAGCCTGGTATTGGCACAGAAATAGACACATAAACCAATGGAACAGAATGGAAACCCCCAAAATGAATCCACTCAGCTACAACAAGCTAAGATGACCTCAGGAGAAAAGACAGAATATTTTCATCAGGCAATGGCAATCTAAATCTTTGCATGCAGAAGTATGAAAGAAAACCCATAGCTTATATGTTATTCAAAGATGTACTCAGAGCGGATTAGGAATCAAAGTGTAACAAAATAAAACCAATAAACAAAGACAATTTTTGCTTAATCAATTGACAAGGCAAGAAAAAAGTATATTCCAGTCAAGAAAAGTCAAGAGACACGCTGTGAAATTTTCCACACTCGGTGATTCAGAGGTCAGCCTTGGAAAACTAGTTTGTACGATCATGATTTTCAATTCTATTGGGTTATTTCCCATACCATTGACCCCAATGGGCTGGCCATGCTCACATTGATTCCAGATAATCTCTGAGTCCACTAACAGGATGCAACCTCCAGCCCAGTGACTGATGAACATTGGGCCCAATTCTGACAACAATTACTAAGGACTTTATACTTTGGTACAGATAACAGTGAGCCATAAGTGAAGAGCTACGGAAGAATTGTGCAAGTCATCAAACATATCTAACATATTCTATCACATGACTGCAAATCGATGTGTGGGCCCAGAATTGGCAAGAAATTTGACCAAGGAGATGGCTTTACAAGCAGCTCAAACTTGCAGACCCAACATTGCATTTCTTAGTGGTTTTCCAATTTCCATAGAGAATAAATTTATCACGCAAAGATTTCTCTCATTGTACACAATGACCCCCATTCCCCTCACAGACTACAACCAACTGCCTATCATAAGATTAGGGGTGAATCAAGATAAGCAAAGGTCCCAAATTATGAATTACTGTGTGGCTATTCCAATGGCAATGAGGAAGAACAACTTACCTCGGGTGAACTTGGGAAAGTTTTTTCTCCCTTATCTCTAAGTCACTTTGATAGTTGAATTTGCTTCACAGTGTAACTTAACAGTTACCTTTAATAACCCTTCCTACCCCATGATAATCAACCATACTGCTAACCAGTAGCCATATAACATGAATGTGAGCCTCAGCTTTCTCTTTTTTGATAAGATATTTTAAGATGACCTTTTCTGGATATATTATGATCAAAAAGTTGTTGCCAATATTTTAAACAGAGGTGTGCTTAACTAACCCTTTAAAAATCTCCCTCATATTTGACTCCTAACCAGTCTTCCTTGCTGAATCTCCAGGACACTGCATCCGTTGTTGACTGTAAGCCGCCCAGGGGTACCAAATACCAAAGGGTCAGTATCTCTAATTCATGAGATGCTGAAAGAGAATCATTGGACTGTTGTTCATTCTGCAGCATTGCCTTGCCTGCTGAGATTTACACAGATTTGGCTTGTTCCTGAAAGCACTAAAGAAACAATGTCTGAAGAAAGCCCAGTAAACGCTGTTCAGGCTGCAAATCCTTCCCACCTTACTCCGAAAAATATCCTCAGCTAATTATTTGCCTTCCTTGCAGGTCTCAAAACACCTAAGCAAATCAACTTGAGGAATTAAGGAGCCGGAGCGAAGCAGAGCAGACACCTGTTACAAATAGTGTCAGGCCAAAATCTTTAATAACAGATTATTTATTCTATATATTGACAGAGTTGACAGGCATGGGTTATTCTCTGGATATGTGGCAGCAGTTGAGGGTGAGTTGTTAAGCAGCTCATACCAAGAAGAGAGAGTCCAGTCACCAGCATCTGAGATGTCTCCTGCATCACCATTCACTCGCAGGAGCTTGGGCAGAAGCCATGAACACAGTCTCCATGTTAATATTCATCAGAAAATGGGAAATCTGGGTGGTCAGCAAGACTAAAAAGAAAATAACACACAATCTTAACTCAGTGACCACATTTCAAGAACAGCAGTGAAACAATTTCCATGGATTTACCACTAGAAAATAAAAAAGACTTTTTTCCTGATTTTAAAATCTGATTTTTATATGAGCATGAGTTAATTGTAAATATATTTAATTTTACTTAGCTTTATAATTATAACTAAAACTGCAACTGAGTATACAGAACATGCAGAATAAGAAATTCAATCACATCCCATTTAACTGCACATTTCTATAACACTAAGTAATATTCAGTGCTAACATCTGATATTCAAGCGCAACATAGCATATTATGCTTATTCTTAAACAAAGACATATTCATATACAACATAAAAATGATTCTAGAGGGTGTAGGTTTTTCAAATAATGATTAGTGTCTGGCATTCTAAGGTCAACTTTTTTCAAAGTAAATGTAGTATATGAATCCTAAGTAACATATTGGAAAGAAAGATAGAGATTTCAAAATATTAAAATATTATGTTGCAAGGATCTAAAGCACAGTGCCATTTGGAGTGATGTGTATTTCTGTGTATCGATGTCCAAAGGTTAACAGTTTTGTAATTCTTCTAATAGTTTTGCAAATATATTGATTTGTATATGTATTACTGGTGTATATTTATGCATAAAAGACCAATTATTTCACCATGATAACTCTTACAAGACATACACTATGAAATAAAGCACTCAATAAGGATATCTCAAATAAGGATATCTGGTCTCTTCCACATCTAATTTTCAGGAAAAAAAAAATATATATATAAAAATATTGGGAAGATAAATTTACAGAGAGGAAAAGAGTCAGCAAGATTTTTCATCTGCTGGTTCATTCCTCAAGTGGCCACAAGGCCAGAGCTGAGCGGACCCAAAGCCAGGAGCCAAAGTCAGTCACAAAGATGCAGAGTCGCCAGGGTTTGAGCTATATTCTACAGCTTTCCCAGGCCAAAAGCATGGAACTGGAGGGGAAGTGGAGCAACCACGACACAAGCAGGCAGTCATATGGGATCCCAGGCATACAAGGCAAGGATTTAGCCGCTGGAACATCTCCCTGGTCCCTCACATATATTCTTTCAAATGGGTATTTTCAAAACTTCCAGTCCACTGAGCTCTTGTTCATTTGTTCATACTCAAAGCCACCTGAGTGACAGTGGATTTTGTATTCTTTGATTTCTTTACCGTTGTGAGATATTGAAATTGATAACCAAATAAATTTTTGCTTCAATTTGGTACTATTCATTCATCTGTTTAAAATATCGCATTCTCTGAAATTAGTCCTGGGTTGTTTCAGACATATAGGTGATACTTTTAATTTTAATTATAATTCTGAAAAACTTATTTGAGAAAAAAGTTGTTTTGAACAGGCCTACTAGCACAAATATGGTGTTATAAGGTATTTTTCTTAATTCAGGACTCTTTTTTAAAGACAAGTTCCCATAAGCAAAGAAATCATTTCTTAAAAAGTAGGCATTGAAATCACAGTTACTGAAATTATTTGTTTATGTATAAGTTTATAAAATCTTATAAGGCAAATGATCTTAACAATTTGTGATGTAAACAAACATGCTAATGTGAAGAAACAGAATTGCTAGCTAAGACATTGGGATTATGGGAAATGCATTTTACCTGATAAGAACTGATAGACTTGTGAAAAGAGGAAGTAATATCATTTTACAAACATTAAACCAGGCTACACGGATGATACTTAAAGTGCATGTCCATAGACAGAAGAATGGAAGCTAATACGTATCCTACATTCTGCTCAGAAAAGTAAATAGAACCACTTACAAATCATTACGGTAGCACCGAAAATTTCTGTTCAGGCCATCTAAAACATTCATATCCTCTGAAGACAACTGAAATCCAAATACCTATTAGAGAACAGTATTTTATTAGTTTCATACAGACTATCTGCCAATTTTAGAATACTAAAATTTACCAAATATTGAGATGTCAAGCAAATCAACAAACCCTAAGCACTAGGTTTGGTGGGAATTCAAGCTACACTTAGGCAGATTCCTCAGAAATCTAACAACAGACCCACTGCTAACACAAACATCCCATCCTTGGGTTTTTAACCAAGGGAAATGGAATTGGCATACAAAAGTGTTATCTATATCCCATGTTATAGTATCTGAATTCAAAATAGCTCTGATATGAAATCAACCCAGATGCCAACCAACTAAAAACTACATAAAGAAATGTATTTTTATATACATGATGCTATAAAATCATAAAAAAAGAAATTATACATTTTTCAAAAAGTGGAAACAACAAGAGACTATTATGCTTAGTGAAATGAGCCAAAACCCCAAAGACAAATATTTTTATTGATTTGTAGCACCTAAAATACAGAGTATTGAAAAAAAGTTGGAATATAAAGGGAAATTGATATCCTATGATTTGAGTTTGTTATATCCTTTGTCCATATTTCAGTGGAACCGTGTCTTTCTTTTTACTTGTTGAACATTGTAGTTGCAAAATAAATTAAAAAAATGTTCTCTTAAAAATTGAAAAAAAAAAATAAGAAGGAAGGAGGAGGGAAAGAAGAAAGTGTATGGAAGAAAGGAAGAATAGTTACATCATAGAAAGCTAAAAAGATTTATGAACTTGGAGTTTTCAAGAAAAAAAGCCATAATTCATAAAAGAAAATCACATAATCCAATGGCCTAATTTCAGGAACTGAAGATATCACTTTCATAATGTTTTAAATTCCCAATTTAACACTGAAAACAAACTTTATGCTTTTTCTTCAACCAATTCAATCCAACAAATATGACTGAGAACTATACAGAAACTTGAATGCCTGGGTAAAGACTTAAAGTTAAGATGTCTTGACAGCTAAAGGAGAAAAAAAAGTGACCTATACTGTCTCCATCTTTGAACCCAGCATCCCCACATGTTCCTCACCTGAATGTTCTCTTTGATCTCCTTCTCAATGAAACTCTTGGCCAGGACCACAACTCCACGTTGCAACTGGTAGCGAAGAACAATCAGAGCTGGACTTTGTTTGTACTCTTTAGGCAAGGAACAAATCACTGGATCTTCCAAGAGAACAGGGAAGCTCTGGTCCACCCTTGAATGGAAGGTAGAAAGGCTGAGCTCCTGAGTCTAAGCATTCAGTTCCTCAGAGGCTTCCAAAAAATCAAAGCAGGGAGCAACTCTTGACCAATGCTTCTCAAATGTAGCCCCTGGGACAGCTGCACTACATTATCTGCACTACTGCCATCATCTTCTACGAAGGCAGATCATCCCCTTTCCCTGAGCCACTTGAGATTTAACACCATAAACTAACCCCTGTCCAACGAATAGTATCTCATTAGCAGAGGTATTTTAGGTAACCTTTCCATTTTTCTTTTACCATTTTGGATCTCGACTTGACCCCAGAGCTCCATAGGCCACCAGAACAATGTCCTTGGACTTGCAGAAATCCAGCAGTTTGCTCTGGTTGAGATAAGGATGACATTCCACCTGCAGAAAGAAGAAATTAAAATGTATCAGACTATATGGGATGTCAATCTTAAAAAGAAAAAGAGTAGCTGAATCTAGAAATAAAGGATGGGATTAATGATGAAAATATTATCATAAGTACTTTCTATTTCAAGATTTTTATATTATGTTTATTTTTCTTGCAATGGAGCATGAGAAAGGGAATCTTGTACCTCCAATTCACTTCCCCAAATGGCCATAATGGCTTTGGGTTTGACACATCAAAGCTAATATAAATTCTCCACCTTGGTCTGCCACGTGGATGGCAGAGCCAAGTACATGAGTCAGCAACTGTAACTTGAACTGGTGCTTCAATTTAGGATGCAGGCTTCACAGGTATTGTCTGCCAGAGGCTGAACCACAATGATGTAAGGTTTGTTTGTTTGTTTTTTCAGAAGCAACCACTTTAAGAGTGGAAATGTGAACATATAGCATTTCCAAGTTGAAGCAACTTTGTGACCAGACCTTGATGGCTAAACAACTTTTTCAATGTTAAACAGAGATCAAAAATGCCACATCAAGATAAGTAAATCACACTTTTAACCCTGAACTTTAAGCATGCTAGAAAGCAAAAAGTTTTTATCATTCATTAGAAAAACTCCGATCGAAGAAAAAAGCAGTAGAGTAGGAATATCATGATCCCCTTTGAGTAGATTACAATGATGGAAGGGATAATATTAAAACTTATTCTATACTTCAGAGTGAATAAACAACCATAAGACCATAATTATATAGAATATATAAAAAGGGAAAATTATTTCTTCACAACAAAAATGTACATCTATAAATAACAAAGCATTGAAACATAGAATCAAACAGACAATAAGAAGAAGCTTAATGGAGAAATGATTTTATTATTCTACACTACAGCCATCATCCACACTTTCAGGATGATGCACTTTATTTGAGAATACAGAGACTTTTATACCCCAAAAGAATGCAGATGTCACACAAAGGCTTTCATTAATTCTTATGTGAAGCTAGCAATTCTTAGAATAATTATTCTTATGTTAGTAAAACTAAAAAAAAAAAGTAAGGCAGAAGACATTAACAAAGCATCTTAGAATACTTTGGTCTGCTAATTGCAACTCAAGGAAAGCATAAGAAGAGATAGTATTGAGGCCAGGGACTTTCTCTTCTGTTATTTTTAACCAGAGGGAGGCACAAAGGAGAGATAGCACTGTGGATTTTGGTCTGCCACTTGGTGTTCCAAGGTTAGACACAAGTCCAGGTGTTCCTGGCTTTTGAATAGCTCCCTTTTGCACTCAGCTTAATGCACTCAGTTCCTTAACATCTCATTTAAATCATTATGAAGTAGAGAAACAACTGATCTATTATTATATGTCAGTAATCTAAAAAGTTAGTTCAACTGAAAAATGTTTCCAAATCTGGCTGGGAAAAAACATTTCCTATGTTCAAAAGAGGATACTAAGAGAAGCATGTCAAAATTCGGCATGTCATTTACTACTGTTTTGTTATTCAAAGAGAAGATATTTGGGGGTATTAATGAGGACTGATGCTAAATAATAGGAGGAAAAATTGTTAATTACTTTAGATCCAATTATGAAAGCTATAATTAAATAATAGTGTCTTCTTTTACAATAGATGATAATGAATTTTGCAGGAATTAGCTATATGTTTACTACATAGTATCAAGATTCAGCTATCTGTTGCATATATGCATAAGATAAACTTTCATGCATATTAACTTGACATTAAAATATCACGAGTTTTGATTATACAAGTGAAATATGGAATAGTCATATTATCTAAATTTCTAAATATGTGAAAGTTTTTCAAATAAAAATTGGAATATACACAATATTAAAAAGCATATTAATTTTATAATATTTTTATTTTGAAATCAGTTGCCTATACTACTACATGACAGGCCATACTTTTCAGTCAAAGATCTTGACTAGTTGGCTGTGGGTTGTTGGATACTAAATTACAACATGAAACCAAGCACAGCATAGTGCTTACAGTGGATCTAATAGCAGGAAGGAGAGAAGATACAAACTAAAATGGGTTCAAAAATAAGATAAAATTAAATTGTGCCAAAAACTTCCTGAGTGTAGATGTGGACCACAACAATATGACCAGAAATTAGTAACTTCCCCACGGTACATTCACACATTCCATTTATCTTTCCCTGTCTCTGGTTACAGAAGGAACAGATACCAATAGGAAATATGCAAACATTCAAATGCCAAACAAACCCTTCACACCTATCTTCCCCTATAGTTACACTATCTTTATATACTGCAGATGATATGTTTTCATGGCCCTTTTTCAGATGTACGGTGCTTTCCAAATGTTCTTCAGCAATCCATGGTCCTCTTAATCTACTTACTCATTAATCTCATATAAATTCACCATTTTATTCATGTTTGAATATTGACTTTTGTCTTTCTTGACCATCTTTAGTTTTTCAGCCCTCACAATGCCTTACCTTTTCACTAAGACATTACAAAACATAGAGACAAAGGAAGGCCCTTCTTGCCCTCCAAACAGGCAGACACTCTGCCTGCAGATTTTGCGTTCTAGAGCATGTACTGAAGGGGAGTGGAGAACAAATGGATTTCTGACTGTGGTACAAGAAGAAAAGAATGAAAAGCATGAGAGAAATCTGATAATTCTCACCTGGTTGCACACGGGCTTGTACTTGAGGCCTGGCTTGTTCAGAATCATCTCCAACTGCCTGCGGTTGAAGTTGGAAACCCCGATGGACTTGACCAGTCCTGCGTCCTTGCACTTTTCCAAGGCCTAAGAGGAAAGATTGGAATAAGTATTTCCAGAGATAATGAGGATAATATAAAGATATGATGACATATCTAAAAAAATATTCTGTGAAAACAAGAAAAAATGTTTCAAAATGGGAAAATACAATGACACTAAGGATACACATCTTATTGCCCTCCAAAAGAAAATGGAGAAATTACTGTGTGTGAATGGAAAAAATAAGCCCATCTCTTTTGTTCTTAATTCTTCTGCATTTCTGTTTATGGAATTCTAGTTTTGTCTTTCTCCTCCACCCAATTCAACACATTAACCATTAATAATTGTGTGCATTTATACATCCAGGTATGACTAACCTGTTCTTTATATTAACCTACATCCTACAGTCTCCCTTTATTGTTTATTTTTTATTCATTCCTGAGAGTACTCACCTCCCATGTGGCACAGAGGTCCACTCTGTCATGTACTGGTTTTCCATTTTCATCTGTCGGGAACAGCTCCTCCCCAGGCTAGAATAGTAGCAGTCGTGTTTCATTAGATCAGCAAATTCAGGTATCCACACAACAGCAATACACCCAGATGCATTTAAGGTGGGAATACTGAGACTCAGTGAAATATGTGGAGCATCATTCCACAGACATGTACTTGCAACATGTTTTGCATATCAAATGGTAAAGACTGGCATTATGTTACATGTTATTGTTCTTCTAACTGTTATGTATGTATTAATTAATCCTATTGTCAGGATCCTAATGGTGTTTCTTAGATTTTCTGTGTTCTGTACTTTCTTTCACTGTAAAAAGTAATACTTACATAACTTTCATCTCTACCAATAATGGATTGTAATCTTCACACACACTAAAAAATACACAAGCAGTGTACCTCATGTCCCTGTTAATATGTGTATCAAAGAGCAAGTACTTGCACCATAGAACATGGATCAAGGTTATAGTGTAACACTAGAAGATGCATCAGCTATGAAATGTTAATGGATATAACTTGATAACAGCTTCAGAGCCATAAGTGCTATCAAGGAAAACGTTCAGATGAAAGCTAATTAAATCTGTAATACTACTATGGAAAAATACTGATAAAAACATATATCCTAAAGTTACTTAAAATGTGTACATTGCTCATGACATGGGCTTCCTATTTACATATTTCAATAAACCGTATTGTTGAAACCAGTTTAAGAAGTTTCTGTAACTCACATATGTGAAACTTCTACAAATGTATCAGTATCATTTACTCATTCATAAATATGATAGTCACACTGACAGCTAACATGAAATAAATTTGATGATGTTAACTACTTGCCTTCATAGCTGCAGGGAAATGAATAATGTACAGATCTACGTAGTCCAGTTGAAGAGCTTTCAGTGACTGTTCCAAGCCTGTTCGTACTAGCTCTGGTCGAAGAAAAGTGCACCAAAGCTGCAGGATTTAAAGAGTAGAAGTTGTACTGGATAGCTATATTATTGAAATTTCACTGTTTTCTTAATGTATTTTTTAGACTTTTTAAATTAAAAGTTATAAATGTGGAAGAAAATGATACTTTCTTTGTTATTCCTGTGTCCTGCATATCATCAGAACCTGTTGCCACTGATTTAGTTATTAATGGTAAACACACTAATCCATGGTGATTAAATCAAGTGTAAATACTTTTAAAACCCTAAAAACAAATCATAGAAGTAGAATAAAGAATAATATATGATCTTAAAGACTTGTTTTCAAATATCTCAGATTAACAAAATAAAAAAATATTATTGTCCATAATTTCTTGCATATCATTATTTAAGGCTTTGGAATTCCTAAAGGGGGGGGGAATAAAGAGTAAGAAAACCCAGTCAATGAAATAACAGTAGAAAACTTTTCCTAATCAGAGAAAATTATGGATATCAGTATGCATGAAGTTCATGGAACCCCAACTAGGTACCATCAGTTGAGACACTCTGCACATTGCACTTTAATTTTGAAAAGGAAAACAGTGTTGTTACATTCTCAAGAGGAAAGCACTGTCATTACTAAAGGAAATCCAATGATACCGACAGAGATTTTTCAATGGAAATGGAAATGTTAGTACCAGAATAAAATGTGCAGATGGAGTCCAGGTTCTAAGAAAGAAGGAGAAAAATTGCCAATTCACCATCACTTACCTGGAGAAATTATCATTTAATGTAGGTGGAATCTGAACCTTCCAAGGTGGATATTTAACTTGAATTTATCCTGCATGTCTATCATGCGTCTTTAAAGACCACAAGGAATAAAGTTGAAAAGTAACAGTAAGATCTTCAAGAAATTATACGACTAAATGACACTGGTCAACATGCTCATGAAAGAATATTGAGTGATAAAACAAGTCAGAAGATACATTAAAGGTCCCTGCATACTTAAAAAAAATGAAAACACGCATATCACGTATATTTATCATACTTATAGATCCCATTTCATTATTGAGTATTCTTACGCATCAACTACGAAATACCTTGGAGGTGTAGAATATGTCTTCTCTCTTCACAGTGCCATCTGCAATCTTGCTTCGAATGGCCTGACCTACTTCCTTTTCATTTTGGTACACATGAGACGCATCTATATGGCGGAACCCAACATCTATGGCTATTTTGGTGGCCTTACAAGCCTCACTCTTAGGAACCTAGAAAAGAAGACACAAGACTATTTGCAGAACCACGTGACTAAAGTAGGTTCAGGCATCATTAGTGACTTTCACAGCAATCATTCATTTCTTTTGTCCTTGAATAAGTTTGCATTTCGGGGAAATGAATGAATTTCAATTTGCCTGAATCTTTCCTAATTAATACCAAGAGGTAGGTTGGTTAAGAAATTCTTCACATGGGGCAATTATTTAAAACATTTTATTTATTTATTTATTTATTTTTCTATCTATCTATTTATTTATTTTAGAAAGTAAGATATACAGAGAGGATAGACAGACAAGAAGATATTCAATCCTTTGATTCACTCCCCAAGCAGCCACAATGGCTGGAACTGAGCCAAACTGAATCCAGGAGCCGTGAGCTTCTTCTGGGTATCCCATGTGAGTCCACGGTCCCAAGGATTTTGGTCATCCTCCACCACTTTCCCAGGCCACAAGCAGGGAGCTAAATGGGAAGCAGAGCAGCCAAGACACAAACTGGTGCCCATGTGGGATTCTGGCATATGTAAAACAAGAGCTTTAGCCATCGGGCTACAGTGTGGGGCCTGGGACTGTTGTTTTAATCACTAGTGTCAAAGTTTCTGAACTAAGCTGGCTTTATTATTTAATGTAAGAATACAGGGATGCTGCACTATCTTAGTACCATGATTATATTAATACAGAGTATTTATAAAGAACAATTAACACAGGTGAAAATTAAATGGAAAGAAATATGGAAAAAATGTAATGTGAACTATTCATCCTCATCCACAGTAATAAAAAGAAGTTGTTCGATTCTGTGAGAAGTATATTTACAGTATTTAAAAACTTTATTTTTTAACATTGATTTATTTTTATTGCAAAGGAAGATTTGCAGAAAGCAAAAGAAACAAATAATTATCTTCCATTCACTGCTTCACTTACCAGTTGTCTGCAATGGCAGAACTAAGCTGATCAGAGTTAGGAGGCAGGATTTTTTTCTTGGTCTATAAAATAGGTGCAATGCCCCAAGGGCCTTTGCCATCTTCTGCTACTTTCCTAGGCCATAAGTGGGGAGCTGAATCAGAAGTGGAACAACTGGGGCATAAAGGTGCCTTTATAAGATGCTGGAACTGCAGGGTTAAGGATTACATGGTTATGACACCACACTGGCCTGAAAACTTTAAAGAAATCAGTTTGCTTTGAATTTCAAGTAAATTTCAAGTAAACAGATCTGTGTTAGCCCATACATATAATAACCATACCACAAAAACAGACAAAACAGCAGGAATGCATACACTCTACAGTCTGCACAAGCATTGTAGCTGCAGCCACCAACTCAATACGTTAGAGAATGAGAAACAATGTGGGTTCCCTAATACTAACGAGATAAAGATTGAAAATAGGCAACCAGTTGAATGCACTGAAGAAAATTATGTTCATGTTTTCCTACAGAGCTGTTCTGTATGCCCCATCCCAAATCACATGCACACAAAAATAAATGCCAACAGTAAGTTTATGTCAAGAGCTGTGTGAGAGACAGCTGAATAGTACCCTATAGTCACTTTAAGGTGTATAGCAGCTAGTCATATGTAAACTAAAATTGAAATGTCAATGAAGTAGTCACAGGATGTGGTTAAGAACTTGCATTTTCTAACATATTAGTTACTCAATACCATGCCAATTAACTCCATAGTGTTGTAAATTATTGTGGTTGTTATGTTGTGGCTTTTCATCAGACGGGTGATATTCCGCCAGCTCTGCTTTCAGACCAGGGATGGTCTCCCCAAGAAACTGCTGAATTTATCTGGACAATAAGATGCTGGACTCTATGCATGGTACATGCTTGCAATGAAGGAATCATGACTGGATTTGAACTGTAATACTGCAACAAGGTGGAGGAATCCACCATGGGGGGAGGGTATGGGGAGGGGTTGGGGGAATCCCAGAGCCTATGAAATTGTGTCATAAAATGAAATGAAATTTAAAAACAAAGAGCTGTGTAGTGCCACTGAAGAACCTAGGCGTTTTCTGCCTTTTGTGATTCTGCCTTAATGGCTTGGCTGGGGGCTGTGTGAACCTCAGGCCTGATAGTCTACGTGACACCCAGCAGGACACCTGGCAGGTCACGTAGGCAGACCACTCCTCAGGAAGGAAGTACCTGGTGTTTGATAAGATTCACAGCCCAATAGCTTATCAATTTGTACTTTTTGAAAGTTGCTTGTTTCAAACCCACCAATAGAAGCCTGCTAAATCATGACTGTATAATTAATAGCCTAAAATGTATAAGAACTGGGGGGCTTGGGCTCTCGGGCCCCTTCCCTCGCTCTTCTGGCTCGCGCTTCTTTGGTCCTCCTTGTGGATCCTTGCAGCCTCGGCTGCGGCTGCCCCTCCCCCGCCCAGCCATGCTGGGCTGGGGGAGGTGGCTGGGAGACCTAGGCTAACCTGAATAAACCACCTTTATGCCTTAGCACCGACTTCAGACTTGATGATTATCTGGGGATTTCAAAAACCGGCACAACACCACCTGTGATGCCAGCATTGCGTACAGATTTTGATACACCCCACATGCTATACTTTGGAATTATTATGCTGTTAATGTGCTGTGTTAAGCACCCATGTAGACAACCCAGATGAGGCTCCTGGTTGCTGGCATTGACCTGAATCACCTCTTTGCATCAAGTATCTGGAGAATGAACCAAGGGATGGAAAAGCTGTCTCCATTTCTGTCACTGCTAATGTTTTTGAAACTCTACATTTAAAATTAATAAATATTCAAAAGTGTATATACAATGGATGCATATCTTCAAATAATAAATTACCTCTACAGAATTATTATTTTCATTGTTATCCCTTAAAAACAGGTTACTATTTTCAGATACTTTATAAATTGAGCAAAATTTAAAATTATAAATTTCCCAAAACTGGACAAAAATTTGTAAACGTTTATTAAAGGTCAAAAGATAAATGAAACAAATGTTTTTTCATTGATTTGATAAGTTGAGAGTCACATCACTCAGTGTTAGAACAATGAAGCGTAACTGGGTTCTGCTATCCTTTCCTCAAGGACAGCTCTACCGTTTCCAGGTGAGAGGGCCCTCAGACATTTACAAGAGCTGAAGCACTAGGGATATCCTTGATCATTCCCTCTCCTACATGGTACCTCAGGCTGAAAATTAACTTGGCAAGTGTTCTGAAAATATTCTTCATTAATTTCTTAAGTCACATGCAAGGATGGAATAGAAGCTCAAATTTTAGGTAAGCTGACCCATGTCCCACAGTTACTTCATTAGAGGACAATGTCAGTGTGCAGAATCCTTCCTTGGTGTCCAGGTTGCACCATACACTTGTCTGAGTCCTTTATTGGTTAATGGGAATAAACCGCTTAGAATCGCTCTTTCTGTTTCTGCCTAAAATGTTGTGATTCCATTCATCCATTTCTCAGTGTGAGAGTAGGATAAGGGAAAATCTACACTGCCAAGCTCCAGTAATTGCTCTGCGATGTTTGTGTTAACTCATTGCCAAAACATTACTGATAAATTTCATACCGCATGCATTTTCGTTACAATTACAAACATTCTCCTTCAGCATTCCGTGTTTTGGGAGGAGGAAAACAATTCTGGGGAAAAAAAAAAACCCTCACTCCAAGTGCAATCAAATATCAGGCAAGCATGCTAGGAAGTAGTCACGCTGAAATTTTTTTTTTCTTTGCTACCACAATCTGCAGACTGAAACAGAAAGCATAACTGTCCTGTTGAGGGTGGACTATTTTTCTCATTAGTAAAGTCAGCATACTGATGGAGGAAGCAAAACAAAGGTCTGAGATCATCAGCAGGAGGCTGTCAGCGGGGAATCTGACTGTCAGGCTGAATAAAGGGTCACCAAGTTCAATTTCCTGCATGAGATTACTCTGGCACACACAGGGTTGAGACAACACAGTGAAACTGACAGTCACACAGAAACCTGCTGACTTGGAAGGCTAGATCACATTCCTCAAATTCCGGCTCTATTTTCTCTTGTCCCCTCAAGCAAAAAGCAATGTAATTACCTCGTCAGGTGCATAAGTGCCAAATCCCAGTACAGGAATGGAGTGACCGTCGTTTAATGCCACACGCTGATGCTTGAAATCCATTGCTTTAGTTCTGCTGGCTGAGAGCACTCTGCTTGCTTCTGCCTTCACAGTGATAACAGGAAGTCCATAGCTCAACTGTCTGTCTAAAGTCTAAGACACAGGAGGAATGAAGTTAAAGCAGTATTCCACATTTAATCAAACATTTTGAAACAGCTCATTATGTTATATGAAAGATACTTTTATTAAAGATAAAATTAAATCATTACATTTGTAAATTTCTTTATTTAGAAATACTCATAAATTTTAAAAACACTGAAAACATTTAACCAACAACTGTTGACTTTAATACCCCATAAACTATCCATTTTCTTGTTTTATTTTTGGGATGAAAACCCATCTAGCCAAACATTGTTTGAAACAACTGTGCTGCACATATAAACATAGATACAGAGAATTAAAGAAATGATTTCTGGGAGCCCAGTGCAGTAGCCTAGCTTCTAAAGTCCTCGCCTTGCACATGCTCGGGTTCCCATATGGGTGCTGGTTCTAATCCCAGCAGCCCCGCTTCCCATCCAGCTCCCTGCTTCTGGCCTGGGAGGGCAATTGAGGACAGCCCAAAGCCTTGGAACCCTGCTCCCATTTAGGAGACTCAGAAGAGGTTCTGGATTTCTGGCTGCAGATTGGCTCAGCTCCAGTCATTGTGACCACTTGGGGAGTGAATCAAGGGATGGAAGATCTTCTCTGTCTCTCTTCCTCTGTATATCTGACTTTTCAATTAAAACATTGATTTCTGATATATTTTTAAAAGATTAACCTTCAATGAAATAGCAACAGTTAAAATTCTGAGAATTATATTAATTTGGTAGTTTCAATGATTGTACCACAGGTGCAATCATTTTAAACAGGTATTCATATAACAATCCACTTTCCCAAAAGCTAAGGAAGTAGGTGATGAAGTTGAGAGAGAACATTGAACCTCCAAAATCCAGCAGAGACACCAATGCCTCTACCACAAGCTGATGCATCTACTTCCTCACCTGCTCTGGAATATGAAGGCCATTTTAATGGTCCAGCATCAATAGTAACATGGCTAACTACAAAATAATTCTACAACACTTACAGACTTTAATGTCAGTCTAAAATGTCATTTCTGCATTCTAGCAAGGTCAACTGAGCTTCATGGGTCCAATGAAGTCTGACAGGGCAGTAGTGGCCACAGAGTCGGAACCCATAAAACTCTCTCCATTTTGGGTAGACAGATGGTGGAGAACAGATGATTTATGTGGATCTTACAACACTTCAAAATAGGTAGGCGCTATGATAATTCAGGACCATACACTTCTGATATATGTTCCCCACGCCCAAACATTTGACAAATCCTAGGTTGTTGCTGCTTTCACATGTACCTGCTCAGCCCTGACTGTGGGGATAGATCCCACAGTGGATTCAAAGGGCACAACATGACACAATAGTAACTCAGTCATCTGGATACGATTTCCATGTGGGCTGAAGAAAGTACTCAAAGCACATCAGTCTGCTCCAACATTTTCTTTCATCTCTGACAGTAAGCAGAGGTGCCCTGCCACTCCTTTATCAGGTAGTGTGGAGAACTAATGTTTCCTTTGTAACTGCTGGCTGGAACTTTCTAACCCCAACCCCCACACTTCATGGTGATTCCCGCCTGGAGACTTTTTTTTCTGAGAGTAGTACAAAACAGTTTTCAGGCCTAAGTTATTTCCCATAGTTAACCCTTCCGTTAAGCATTAATGTGCATATTGCAGCCAAGGAAATCCAGCAACACATCACAAAAACCATCCAACATAGCTAAGTGGGTTTTACTGCAGGAAAAGAAGGATGGTTCAGCATAAGCCAAGTGATAAAAATGATGCTTCGGGCCCGGCGCGGTGGCGCAAGTGGTTAAGTCCTCGCCTTGCACGCCCGGGATCCCATATGGGCGCCGGTTCTAATCCCGGCAGCCCCGCTTCCAGCTCCCTGCCTGTGGCCTGGAAAGCAGTTGAGGACGGCCCAAAGCTTTGGGAACCTGCACCCGCGTGGGAGACCCGGAAGAGGCTCCTGGCTTCGGATCGGCATAGTATCGGCCGTTGCGGCTCACTTGGGGAGTGAATCATCGGATGGAAGATCTTCCTCTCTGTCTCTCCTCTCTGTATATCCGCCTTTCCAATAAAAAATAATAAAAATAAATCTTTAAAAAAAAAAAAAAAATGATGCTTCATATCAATAACTGAAGGATAAAAATAATTTGATGACCTCATTAGACACAGAGAAAGTATTTGATAAAAAAAGCATCCTTTCATGATTTAAAAAAGCACATCTTAAATAAATTGATATAGAAACAATATTCCTTAACAATTTAAAGTCAGTGTATTTAAAGTCAATTTAAAGTCAAATGTATTTCCAAAATGAATTATTTACTACTTTTGATATGGAGCCATTTACCTCGGTTTTGCGTTTTCTTTCTACCTTTGCTTTTTCTGATTAACAATTCATCCATTTTCTCATGATTATTAAGAAAGAGACCTTGGTAGTGAGCAGGTAGTAATGGAGGAATTTTCTCAGATGTTGTTGACTGGACATCTCTCTTCTGGTTAACTCACATTGCTTCTTAGTAAGTCACGCCAATTGCACTATTTCCACAGAGCAGAAAGCAGGTACTAAATTTGCAGGTTTGTGAAAAAAAGAAATGGGCTTTTGGTTTCCATGAAGACCCTTTCTTAACACAGAACTTACTACTTGTATGATGTGTTTTTCTAATTCTTTTGGAGAAAAGCAGATTTGCTCAGAAGGATGGAGATTGGTGGGAGAAATGATAACAACCATTTCATTGACATTTCAGGGGAGGAAATCCCTGAAGCTCTCAGATTTTAGATAAGTATTTCAAAGGATATGTTTGCCAGACGGTAGTTCTCTCTGTCCATGGAGACCAGGGAAGTCACTGCGTTTAGTCTGAAAGAAGCACGTATTTCAAAAACGAGCAACAGCCCGGGGTTTCCCAACCAACAGCACAGATGTGAGGACTGCAAGAAAATAAGCAATGGAGTATCTTTACAAGTGAGCTGACCAAGAATATGCTCAGGGAACCAGCTTGGATGAAAGGTCAGGTGGCAAATTCAGGGAGGCCTACGAGAAGGTATGTGAAATGATATTCACTTTGTAAATAATGACAAATGGTCATTTTATATTTTATACCATGCTGATCAGAGGGAAACTTTGCTTATATTTATCCATGAGTTAGATTAAAGTGAAACACAGTGTGTACTTGTATAAGCAGGGAATCGGAGTGATCTTGCTGGGATCTATTTGTCCAGGAACTTGAAGAAACAATTGGTTGATTAATGCTCCCTGAATATCAACTCTGTATTAATTTTTCAAATTAAATTACAGGTAAATTACAACTAATTATATCTGATCTTTTAAAATACCTAAAAAATATAATTAGACATTTAAATATAAACACAAAATATCTGAAAGCAGCTGTAGATAGGCCTCAAATTCATATAAAAGATAAATAACATATTAAATTGGGTTAATTCCCTCTGTTTTCTGAAAGTAACTTTTTGATATTTAAAATTTGTATATTTTTAGTGTCTTATAATGAAGAAATTGCAGGTTTCATGAAGATATATAATCCTCATGATTAAGCTTTGTTACAGTGTAGCCCTAGATAAGCACATTATATTTTACAGGATGAAAAATGCAGTTATTATCTTGATAAACTAATTTTATAATAAATAAGAATGATGAACAAATAATTAAAGTTAGTCTGATTATGGTAATTTCATAATAATAATTTGGAAGTAGTTTTCAAAGACTTTACTTTAAAATGTTATTATTTCTCTTGGAGGACATAAAAAAGTCAGTAATGTAACACTTTTGTCTCTTTATAAGAATGTAATCTATGGAAATTCTGTCCTATTGAAAACTATCTTTTTCTAAGATATGTCTCTTGGTTACAAAATATTGATCATCATCTTCTGAAAGAAACATGAAAGCAACATGTTACTCCAGATGAGACACAAAACACACCAATTAAGAAAACTTCACTGTAATACTATGTATTTATATCTGGTATTTGTTTTTCTTCATTGGCAAATTTTGAACATGTGACATTAGGCCTCACAACTTAGATGATGAATAGAGATTCCCCCTTGCTCCCCCTTGCTCCTCTAAAGTCACGTCTATTTATCTTAAGGGATTTTATTTCACCAAAAATAATAGGTTATTTTAATATTCATGAAGACAAGAAGAATCACTTCTAGAAGAAAATAGTCAGATACATTTCTAAAGTTTCAGTACTCAGAAAGTGTGTTATAGATGTGTGCATTGGCATCCTAGCTTGCCTGATTATGACCTCACTTGCATTAATTTAGTTCTGTGTCATTGAGATCAATGAGGCCAGGCCAGCTCACTATCAATTCCAGGAAATCATTGACGTCATAAAATACAATACAACCACCATACTAGCAATGAAATGGTTCTTGCAACATCCAAGTTGGTGGCTGTCATAAAGTTCTTTATACTTTGGTGTGGGTACTATTGAAACAAGACAGGAGCTACACCAAGAATTATGCCAAATGTAAAACATACTGTAGCTGCTCTGTTGCATGACTGTGGCAGTCAATATGTGTGCTTACAGTTGGGAAATATGACAAAAAAAATTTAAAAGATAGGAAGCTAGAGGTCCAATGATATGTTAATTTTTAGTGCTTACTCCATTCCTAATTAAAGCCAAAGTAACCCATGAAAATTTCTCCTGTAGTGAACATCCAAAATTCTCTGTCTACAGTAATCTGCTGTTGGATTACGGGATTAGCTAGGGAAAAAATGTGAGCAAAGGTCCCAAACTGCAAATAACTTTTTGGCAATCAGAGACAGCAATGAGGCAGAAAAATCTGTTTCGGGTGAACTTTGATAAGTCAGTTCCCTTATCTATAAGTAATTTGATAGTTGAAGTTACATCATGCAGTGTGAGAACTCAGAACTCAGAAGTCAGAAAATATCAGAATATGATATTTTTAATGTATGATAATCAATCATACTCTTGGAGAATATTAATTTTTGTTGTCTGCACATTGGA